TTCACTTTTGGCCTTTGCTTCTTCTTCACTTTTGATTTTTTTTTTCTAGGATCCACGTCTGCACCAGCTAGAAAGCCACATTATATTAGACTTTTAAATTTATCCTTTAAAACTTTCTTTGATTACTTCATTAATGTGGAAAGAGTGATGTGTTTTTTTTTGGCAGGTATCGGTGAATTGCGGGATAGGCATTAGTCCGAGGAAACAAGCTTTGATTTACAAGCAATGTGGTTTTGATGGCCTTAGCGTCTGATTTCAAACTGTAACATATATTTTACTGACCAACTCCCAAACTGTGTGGAGGAGTTGCAAAAAAAGGAAGGTTAGGAGTTCCAAAGCCAAAGTGGTAAAGGAACGGAACAAAGGATGATCCATCTTGGAAGATTTTGAGTTTTTGTTTCCTTTGTACAAGCAATCTTTGAAATAGCAACAATGTTGTTTACCAAAGTTACTAATCACTTCGAGTAATTAATCACGCTGCAATCTTTTGGCGCCTATCTAAGGACTAAGGTGCATTTGTTAATGTGTCACAGATAACTACATATCAAAATGTATGGTGATTTTATTTTAGACTTTACATCTGAAAAGAGTACCAGTTTTCATTTGTTTTTGTATAACCTATGTTATATTTGTATCATTATCAGTAATATGTACTCATTTTTTTGAAAATCAACCAAACAAAAAAACAATTTACACCAGTCACATACATTTCCTATGAAATTTACAAAATCCAAAAACCAATGCAACTACGCCTAAATTCAACTCTTCCAAAGATCTTTGTATTTTTTATCTTTTGAGTTGACCGTAAAAAAAAAAGAAACGATCCACTAAACTCAGACCACGTGTCCACTAGAATCCGGTAGTCCAAGAATCCCCGTCACCAACAATCAGATCTTCTTCCAACGGCGGTTGCGAAACCGAAACCTCCCCCATCCGCGGCGACTCTGCTGGTGTACTCCCCCAAAACTCGACGTAATCCTCTGGCGACGGTGAAATCCACCACGTGCTCCTTGGCGATAGCGAATATAATTCCGGTGAATGTAACGAAGAATACGACGGCGAATACGACGGCGAATATGACGGCGGATATGACGGCAAATACGCCGGCGAATATGCCGACGAATGTGACGGCGAATATGAAGGCGAATACGCCGGCGAATATGCCGGCGAATCAACCATAGGAGGCAAAGCAAAGGCGCGACTCTCAATATCACTCAAACGCGATCTGCTGAGCGGGAGAATATTAGCGAGACCGTGGACAGCGATATGCTGATCATAGAAAAGACCAGGGAGGTAAACCTCGACGCCGTCGAGATAAACGGAATCGGAGGAAGAAGGTTTAGTGAGAAGTAGCGAGTGCGAGGGGAGGAAGGTCGGGAGAGAGGAGGCGTTAGGGAGTGATCTGAGCTCGGAAAACGTGAGGCGGAGAGGTAAGGCGTGGAGACGTAAGGTGGAGATGTACATGGGAAGAGAGTACCTCATGTCGAGGTCAAAGAGCATGGCGTCGGTGGGGACGATGAGGGTGAGAGACTCTGCGGAGAGTAGATCGAAGAGGATGTCCGAGGTTGTGATTGCGTTTGCGAATAGAGCGCGGCCTCTTACACGGAGGAGTGAGATTGCTATTTCCAGCTCTTCTGATGGGACGGCGACGGAAGCAGAAGGGAGAGAGAGCAAGAGTGAGACGATAACGAAGGATGTGAGAGTAAGCGATGAATCAATCGCCATTGTTGTGAAACTGAGCTGAAAGAAAGATCTCAAGAGGTTCACAAGTGGAAGAAGCAAGAAAGATGAAGCAACGGTTACGAGTTAGTTATGGAACGAAGTCTGTTAATTTTAAATCGTATGGCCTTAATGGGCCCAATATAAACTGATCTTTACAGGCCCATCTGTTTCTCAGTGGCCCGTCTGTAACCGATACAACGAAGAAGACGATGTGATTAGGGGAAATCGAATCAGAACATCTAGGTTCATCCTTTGGCGATCAATCAGGTAATATCACTGAATTCTCGTTTCATGTATTGAATAAAAGCATATGTATATCACGATATAGCCTACCGTTGATCTTCTCTGATGGGATTAATGTTCATTTTTTTTATTGTCTCAGCTTGTGATCCTTTCTTTCCAATTTCACCATGTAAGTTTCTTCTAATGCAAGCAATTATCTGGGTTATAATTCTATCAACTTACATATTAACCTCACCAGTTTCCGTTGTTGACATGTGAGTCCATATAGATGGGTCTCTTATAATGTTATAATTGAATAATCTCTTTTTATTATCCCTTGAGATTGTAGTTCATATTGATGGGTCCAGGAAGATCAGCGTGTTAGCTGTGTCTTTTCATATCGTAATTTGCAATTGGAAGATATACATGTCTTCCTCTATAGTTTGTTGACTTGTGCTCTCTTCATTTTCTTCCGCTGCACATATTTTTTCAAGGGTGTTAATTTCTGTGTATGTTTATGAGAGTTGTGTAGTAAAAATAGGAACTTGAGTTGTATCGCTTAACATCCCTGCTTATGGATGCTCTGTCATAGTTTTGAACATATTATATAGCTGCTCGGCTATTAATTGTGTTTGTTTATCTAATATTTGATGTTCTGTTATACTATGTGGTGATTACAGGGCAGATGTGGAAGTTGTTGATCCGAAAAAGTGCCTTGAGGAATCTTGCAAACCAAAATGTGTGAAGCCACTACTTGAATATCAGGTGAATATGCATATATGCAACTTGAGCTGTCATTAGTCATATAAAAGATGCGACTTTTTACGGGTTTAAGTGTAACATCTTGTTTTTGTTTGTGGGTTTAGGCGTGTGTCAAGAGGATCCAGGATGATGAGTCTGGACACAAACACTGCACTGGGCAGTATTTTGATTACTGGCAATGTGTTGACAAATGTGTAAGTGTTTTGATTGGTCTCTGTATAACACCTAAAGTTGCATTCTAAAATGGAGAATCGTTTTTGTTGATATGCAGGTCGGACCTAAGCTGTTTGCGGAACTAAAATGATGGGAGAGAAAGTTGGAGTATTGAGCATGTGTCTTGTATTTCTTCTTTTTTTTTCAGCGTTTATAAAATGCAGTGGATATTGAAACATTACTGCAGACCAGATTGCACTTGGCCCCTATATTTTGTTTCTCTGTCAAAGCTGCAAATCCTTTATTTGTCTTTTGAAAGGATAAGTCTATTTAGTTTTTGATAACTTAATAATTGTCTAATAAGAGAAAAGAAGAATACGAATCTTTTGTACATTTTGGTCTGTCTTCAACACTTGTTGGAATGAAAGTTGGGAAAACAATCAGTAGTGTTTTTTTTTGTTTTGTTTTTTTTGTTCAACCAGTAGTGTTTTTTAAAACACAACAATCAGTAGTTAAAAATGTCAGAGTAACACTAGTAAACGGCACGCTGGGCTTAATTTATATTTACAAACGACGCGATGTGTTTGGGTTTTAAACGGCACGTCATACGAATAACAATAACTAGGGTATAAAACAGAGCACGGGACATTAATTCTAGACAAACCTGTCGAAGAACATTCCCGAAAAAGAGTAAAGAAGAGAGACGAAGAAGCCCTAGCGTGTTTGTCTTCTCCCTCTCTGGTCCTTTGCTTACGGTAAGATCTCTCAGATTTCACATCTCCAAGTTTAAATCACGTTCACGGTTCACCGATTCTTTAGATCCGTCTTTCAATTTCCCCTTATACTTTTTGTTGTGAGTTGACTTCGATTCGAGACAAAACTTCAATTTTGTTGATTTCTTTCATATTTCTTGTTCTCGTAGATTTCTTGTATGTTTAGTTTCTTGGATTCTTGGCATGATATCGTAAAATAAGACTTCTCCCCTCTTTTGCAGATTCTTTAACCGTTGTATTAACCTTCGCCCTCGTAGTTTTCAGGAGGCTTGCTTTACTCTCTTCTTGGGCTAATCTTATACGCATCAGGTAAGAAGTTTGGTTCATATTTTACTTATCGCATTAGTTTCAATCAAAGCTTTTAAATCTCTCTAGTTCTTTGCATTGGAATGCTAAACCCTACTGGAAACAACTGTAATTATGTAGGATAGTTTTTTTTTTAGGTCAGCATCAGCATCTAAGTTAATCTCTGTTCTTTGGCTTGATAGTTCTTTAAGAACTCGTTATTGTGCGTTGCCCATTGTTTTTAGCGTAATTGACACTGTTGATGGAAGAGCTAACATTGTTTTTTTTCTTCTTCTCTTTTGTGAGATGCACTTTTGGTTGTACTCATACCAAAATGCAGATTTTTAGCAGCTTTTTGAATCGAAATGGACTGCAAGAAGTTCATGGAGATGGTGGAGGAGAAGAAACGACAAATTCTTGAGAAGAAGGAAGCTCATTTGAAATGGGAGCAGAAGCTTGAGGCGGCTGTCAAAGCTGCTGAAACCAAAGAAAAGAGGTCAAAAAGGCGAAGAAGACAGAGGAGTGGGTCTGAATCTAGCTCTGAAAGTGATAGTGACACTGAGGTGAGAAGAAGGTCGAGGAGAAGTCACAGGAAGCACCGGAGGCATGTACACTCTGATTCAGATGATAGTGATAGGAGGAAAGATAGGAGATCTAGGGGGCATAGGAGGAGGTCCTCAAGTCCAAGCGATGATAGCAGTGATGAGTATGAGAGTGGGTCAGATGATGAGCATAAGATAAGGCACCACCGGAGGCACAAGTCGCATAGCTCAAGACAGGCTTCTGATGATGACAGTTCTGACGATTTAAGAAGAAGACATGCTAAGAAGCATCATAGGCATGGTGAGGCGGTTACTTCAAGTGATAGCGAGGAAGAGAGAGGAAAAAGAAGACATAGGAAAAATCACAGGCACAACAGAGGTTCAACTGCCTCCAGTGACTCGGACTCAGAGGTTAGACGGAAGAATAGAAAGAGAAGGGAACATAAAAGGTACCGTTGGGCAGAGTCTTCAAGTGAGGATGATGGAGAGACGCGAAGGAGAAGGCATCATAACCATGATAGAGAGCCAGCATCTGAAACTGATGGAAGGGTGTCTGAAGAGAATAGAGAGTACGCAACCTAGACAAGAAAATGTGGACGGCGTTAGAAAGTGCAGTTGTTTAATTCACACTTGCAACCCATTAGCACACAAACTCTTAATCATTGTGTTGAATTACTTGTGGCACTCTCCATGTTTATTTTCATTTTACATCATTCATTAAGAACCAATCCGATGTTTATGCTGTCTTCTAACGCATTTGCGCTGAGTCGTTTTGTATTGAAGTTGTTTCAAGAGAAGATTACATATTTTAAGTTGCAGATCATGTTCATGGTTGGTCATCTCGATCAATCTCCCTGTCTCCATATCTTTATCTTGCTGTAACAGTGGTCTGTTTGAGTATAGATGCTTATCGTTGATAATGTTAATTACAGAGTCGCTTGTGTGTATTCGTGGATGTTGCAGAATATGATTTACATAATAAATACCCATCTCCTAGTCCTATTATATGTGCATTCAAAAGAAGATGAAGATTCACATAAACACTTTAGGTACCAAGCTGTGGTTTCTTGATGGAAAGTGATATACCTCTACAACATACATGATTTTATTTGTCTTCGAATAAGATTCTCACCGACCTGTGAGCTTGACCATCCATGCACCACCCAAGTAAAGCCCCAGAAGCGGCGTCGCTAGGAGCATTTGAGTAACTGGATCAGTCGAAGGTGTGACCACAGCTGCTACAACAACCGCACCAACCACCACATATTTCCATATGGATAGCATTTGATCTCCCGACACCACCCCTACTTGTCCCAGGAGTAACTGAATCACTGGAACCTGTAAAACCAGTAACAAGAAGCCAAACTCCAGATCATGATATATATTTACAAACATGCCAGGAAGATGTATATTCTCATCATTGCCACGTACCTGGAAAGAAAGGCCGGTGCTGAACATAAGCACTAGCACAAACTCAAAGTACTGGTCAATAGACCACAGAGATTCAACCACCCCTTCTGCATAATTCACAAAGAAGTTCAACGCTGCAGGGGTTAACACCCAGTAGGAAAAGGCAAGTCCAGCATAGAACAGCAATGAGGAACCAAACACAATCGGCCCAAGAAACCTTCTCTCAGCTCGTGTCAGACCAGGAAGTACAAAAGCTATAATCTCATACAGAATCACTGGACTCCCTAGTAAAAGCCCACAATAACCAGAGACCTGCACCAAAACAAACAAAGAAACAGAAAATCATCTTTCTTGTTCATTTGAGTAAAGCCTAGCTATAGAGAGTCCAAGTGGTTATGACCTTTAACGTTGTGAAGAAAAACTCGCCAGGAGCTAGCTGAAGAAACCGAACACCCTGATTTTTGACAGGAGCTTCAAGAAACACGATTAGATCTTTGGAGAAGGTGAAGCATCCTGTGATTGCAGCTCCCACAGCCAAAACAGAGACGAAAATTCTCTCCCGGAGCTCCTCAAGATGATCGAATATAGTCATCTCTTTGTCATCAGGAAGCTCCTCTTTGTCTGGATACAGAAACTCGTAGATGGAACTTGATTTATCTTCTTGCTCAAAGGATGCATCTTCCACAGCTATGTAATATACAAATTCAAGAAGAGTATATCAGATGACAAGACTTGATTAATGGGTTGTGTGATAACTATTCAGACAAGACATAAACAAGAAACAGGAGTTTTAAGATACCTGGTCTGTCTTCTAGAGCAGAGCCAACGCCGGGAGTGCTCTCTGTCGGTGAATTGTTGGAATTTTCATCGAGAGCTGATAAGCGGACCACCGGTCTTAAGCCTTTGCTACACCGATGCGTCAAACCGTATCGGAGTCCATCTTCTCTCCGTGAATTGCAGAAGTTCACAGAGTATGGACGCTTTCTAGGCGAAAACGTGTCAAGACTTGTGAGGCGGAAGTGGTGGATTAGAGCAGCAGAGCTCGTGCTTGTGCTGCCCATCTCTTCTCTCTATCTTTTTCAATTCCAGAATCAGTCCCCTCGTTTGGTTGCAAGAGAACGATTGGTTCCAAGTAGAGTTTCCTTCGCCTCTAGATATTTACGGACAAAAACCCAATCCTTTTGTTCTGTCAACACTTCCGTCACAAAACTTCTCACAATTTAAAACGACGTCGTCACAACTAAGGGAAGAACATAACGGCTTATAAACCCAATAACAAAACCCAAGCTTTTTTCCTGCCATCTTATTAAAACGACAGCGTTTAACAGAGGTAAGGCCCATCGCAGCCCATTAACTTCATCGAACACTGGTTTGAATTTATGATTGGTTCTTTCCCGCCAGTTTCCCTACTTTCTCTGAAGAGCAAAGATTTTCCGGCGGAGAAATCCCTAAATCTGATTCGCGGGAGGCTCTGCGATCCTCCTACGTTAGTCTTCAGACCGCTTTCCGCTTCCTCAGACAGCAACTACAGGTTTCAATTGCTTCCCTTCATCTTGTTTTAACCTTTAACTAGATCACGTATTGTTGTTGCAGATCAGATTGAATGGACTCTTGCATAGTGTTGATAATTGTCCATTTAAGGTATGATAGCTTAGTGTACTTTATCTATGTTCTTTTTTTTTAAAAAAAAAAGTGTCAGTATTCACTTTGGGGTTGACAAAATGATGTTTATACTTATAGTTTTAGTTCATGTTGGATTAAACTACGCGTAATATATGGGTAATATTCACTGGCTTGTGTTGATTTTTCAGGAAATTGCTAAACAGTTGTGCATGGAACACCACCTGCTCTTCTCCAAAATGGTATGGCGTTGTTCTCTCCAAGTGTTCAGTATGCTCTTAGTTGTTTAACCAGTGTTATAATTGGTTTGATTCTTTCTTTTTGGCATTTTCAGGCATCACTCGATGAGAATTCGCAGTTCATTATAGTCATGCTGCGGTGAGTGTATTTTACCTTTGACACAAAAGAGCCTTTTGGCTGTCTTGATGTTCAACTCAGTCAAACTGATAGAGATTTTTTTCAGGGAATGTGGACTTGCGCATAAGACAATCATCTTCTTTTTTTCTTTTGAACACAAGACAATCATCTTTGTGCTTGATGAATTTGACATGTTTGCACAGGCAAGGAATCTGAATCCTTAAAACTTGCTAACTGTATTGTAACTTTTTTTCTTCTCTGTGATAGATTTACTTTCACCTAGTAACTTTCCTAAGGTTGGGAGATAGAGCAGAACCTTTAATGAGCTAAGGAACTGGATGTTGGTTCTTTCTCTCCACTCATTCCTATTGTTGGGTTATATATAGGGAAAGCAACGGTTGCTGTACAGTTTGCTGGATGCTATGCAATCTGTAACATCACAAGCTGTTGTCATTGGTATTAGTTCTCGAACTGTATGAGCAGTGCTTGGGGGTTTCAGATTGTTTCTTATAAATTTATCATTTTATAACTGTATGAGACTTTGGTAATTGTTAACAGTACTGTGGTTCAACATCTTAGAATATGCAATCTCTCACTACAGGACGCTGACCAACTTCTGGAGAAAAGGGTGAGATCTCGCTTTTCACACAGAAAAATATTGTTTCTTCCCCCATCTAAAGAAGAAGTTGACAGGTAATGAGCAGCATTTTTTCTATTAATGAGCAAAGCACTTTCTTCCAATGAACTTGGTTTATTAATTGGCTCTTCTTTCCAGTTTATTGCAGACTCAAGCTTCCCCAGTGGATATGTTTCTCAGTTCAGTGAAAAGATTAAGGTCCTAATATCCACGCCCAGTCAGTACTATGCCACGCCTAGCTTTATTTGATGTCAATTCTTGTTCTGAAGAACTGATAGTTTCCGATTAATGTGCAGAGTAAAACATCAGACACGAGATTTAAAGACATGCTGAGCACCCTTTTAAATGCCAATTCTACTGTCAACAGTTTGCTTAAGTTTATGTAAGTTATTCATTTAACAGTATGAGCTTTTTTTCTTGTTAAAATAATGTCATTATCTTTTTTGTTTAGGCGATCTCTTAATGTTAGATTCCGCGCTGTTTCCTCAATCAATGGAATCTGGCCTCCTCTCTCTTGAGCTTTATCTTCTAGTATGCATGAGAAGGTTAGAAGTGAAAGAGCAGAACTCACACAACTTCATCGGTGTGATGAAGAGGTTTACTGTTATTTTGGTTTAAGAAAAAAAATGCCGGTTGCGCCACTATGAAAATGACTTGAGATCCATGTGTGTTCCCAGAGTATAAGACGATACATGATTTTTTCAAACCTCGGACTACTACGCGCAAAATGTCTGCCTTCGGGTAAGACTATAGCTCAGATGAGATGTAATGTTTTGAAGATGGTGGTGATCTAAAAATTGTTGGCATGGTAGGCATTTGAGCACCTGAGAGAACGAGAAGTTATATGCTACACAGAGAGTAGAGGACAGTATCAGACAGGTGAGTACCGTCCCATGAAGGTTTTAATATCAGCCTTTGAGCTTCATCAGGGAATGAGATCTCATGCGTGTTGCCCCGTAAGTCTCTATTTTTTCATCTGTGCTCTCTTTTGCTTGCTTTTACATTTTGTAAACTGATTTCAAACTTGGTGATATCTTTTTCTTCTTCTGCTGGAACAGGCCATTCTTCTCAAGTTATTGGAGCATTGATCATCTGCTCTGTGTTCTATTTTGTTCCTTACAAATGAATATAAGACAAGTCCCTAATTGACCATGTCATCTGTATGTTATTTTGTAGTGAAGCTACTTTGTTAAGAACCAATCTTCTCAAGTTATTGCAATCTTATCAGCTTTGCCTATGCTATGCTGTGTGTGAGTTTTCTCCACATTGACAGTTATATAAATTTAGATCTCCTGTGAAAGGGTTAAACCACTGAACTTACAGACTGGGCTGACTTTGGCAACAACTAAATCAAAGTTTAAAATCTTGAGGAAATATAGATTTAAGATTGGTTCTAGAGTTTCTCACATACATATCATCGCCACTTTGTCAGTGTCTTTCTGATGGACGAAACAAAGATAAAACCAAAATAAAAGGTGAAAACTTCAGAAAGAGACAACAAAAGGGTCCTTATTAAGATCTCTTCAAGTTGGGACCAAATTTAAAACAAATCAGTAGGTGTAACCCTTGACGAACATTCCTTTCTTTGCATCTTCATTCTCTCCCTCCGCTGAGTATTTTCCGAGCTGAGCCAGTGAGTTGGCCTTTGCCCTAACCAAGAGAGCCTTCTGCGAGTCCTCGATCTTCTCGGGTTTCCCTTGCCACGTCCTGAGCACAGAGTTCTGCAAAGCACGTGCGTAGGAGAAAGACACATGCCACGGGTTCGGGCTCTGGTTCATAGCGTTCAGGTTCAACGTAGCCTCCGCCTCAGACTGTCCTCCAGACAAAAACATGATCCCCGGAACAGCTGGAGGAACTCTCCTCTTGAGCATCTTGAGCGTGTACTCAGCAACGGTCTCGGGAGAGGCCTTGTTCTTGTGCTCAGCACCTGGGGTAACCATGCTAGGCTTCAACAATATGCCCTCGAACATAACATTGTTCTGCGCCAAGTAGAAGAACACCTCAGACCACACTTTCTCTGCAACCTCAAGTGTCCTCTCAATCGGGTGGTCACCGTCCAAAAGAATCTCTGGCTCCACTATAGGCACAAGCCCGTTGTCCTGAGAGATGGCTGCATATCGCGCCAAACCCCACGCAGCTTCCTTGACAGCTAGTGCTGAAGGACCGCTAGGAATACTCACAACTGTCCTCCTGCAACAACAAACACATATACATTCTCAAATAACCAAACCCATCAACAGAAGAAAAAAAGAATCATCACAATGAAGAAACATCAACCTAAAACCCTTTAATCTATAAGAGTTAATATGCATAACAGAGAGCCTCAAATTGTTAAAACTCTAAATAAATCGTCTATTAGACTCTAAAATCTGAGGGAAATGACATACCACTTGGCGAAACGAGCACCTTGCTTGTAGTACTCAGCAGAGCGTGAAGCCAATCCATCCAAGCCTTGGCACCAAGACTCTTCATTAGAGCCAGGAAGTGGAACCAAACCCTGCATTAAAAAAAAACACACGATAGTGAGTAATCACCAACTCAAATGATTTGATTTGTTAATTGTTCGTGTAAAGAACCTTGTCAACTTTGATGCCCGGGACGATCTTGGCCTCGTTCAAGCAATCAACAAACTTCTTGCCGTCTTTAGTGGACTGATAAAGCGTCTCTTCAAAGAGAATAGCACCAGAGATGTAGTCTCCAAGGCCAGGCGTGGTTAGCAGAAGCTGCCTGTAAGCTTGACGGTTGTCCTCAGTGTTGTCTAACCCAATCGAAGCCAGTCTCTTCCCGCAAGTTGCGTTGGACTCATCAATCGCTAATATACCTCTCCCAGGGGATGCAATAGTTTTCTATTATACAGATTCACAGCCAATCAGAGCAATAATCATAATCATAATCACAATCAGAATCATAATCACAGTTAAATCAAGTGTAAATCTAAACTAACATTTGGGAGCGATAAACACAAAGCTAAACTAAAACTAATAATCATAATGATCATCATCATCATCATCATCATAATCATAATCATAATCATAACAGTTAAATCCAGTGTAAATCTAAACACAAAGGTAAACACAAAGGTAAACTAAACTAATAGTAAGATAGGGAAGGGAAGCTCACGGCGGTTTTGACGAGTTCGTCGGAGTAAGCACCGGCGCGGATGGAGAAGGAGACGCGAGGAGGGGGAGAGGCGGAGGGGTGAGCGAAGGAGCGGTGGCTGATCCGAGGAGAAGAGAGAGCGTTAAGCTTGAGGAAGCTTGCGGAGGCCATGGTAGAGAGAGTGATAGATGATCTCGAAGACTCCGCTAGCGAGAGAGAGAGAGATCTGAGATTCGAGAGTGAGAGAAAGGGAGAGGAGGCTCCGATATGCGAATCTTTATTTATTTGGCATCACCAGTCACCACCAACTCCCACTAAGTGCCCCCTTTTTCATTTACCATAATTACCCCTTTCGTAAATGAGGGATATAATGGTAATTAGTTCTTTAAACGACAATCGTCTTCGTCGCAATCGTATCATCTTCTCCGGTATGTTGTGGCTTAGTCAAACTTATATTGAGACTAAGTTTGATTTACAATGTGGATGAGTTATATATATTATCTTGCAACTAAGTTATTTTATGTTGTGGCTGAGTGTGATGTAAGTTGTGATCTGTTGCGGTTGAGTTATAGATTATGGTGTGGCTGAGTTATTGATTATGTTGTGGCTGAGTTTGTTGTATTATGGCTGAGTTTTGTTTCTATTGCGGCTGAGTTATGTATTATGTTGTGGTTGAGTTTGTTGTATTATAGCTGAGTTATACTATGTTGTGGCTGAGTTTTGTTTCTATCACGGCTGAGTTATGTATTATCTTGTGGCTGAATTTGTTGTATTATAACTGAGTTATACTATATTGTGGCTGAGTTTTTTTTATTATGGCGAGATATACTATGTTGTGGCTGAGTTTTGTTTCTATTTCAGCTGAGTTATGTATTATGTTGTGACTAAGTTAATTTTTCTATTGCGGTTGATTTATATATATGTGTTCTAGGATCAGATGAATGTTTTTGAAGATGGCAGCAGATATCCTCGATGAATGAAGAAATGTGATATATCACCCGTATCGTTTCTTTAAGCCAGCTGTATCTCTTTATATAACTCAGTCATACCACAAATATACCCTAATATCAAAAAAAATTAGTAAAACCCAACCGTATCGTTTCTATAAGCCAGCCGTAAAGCTTCATACAGCTCAGCCATGCCACAAACAAACCCTAAAATAAAATAAAAAATAATATAACCCAGCCATATCAGTTCTATAAGCCAGCCGTAACGTTTCATATAACTCAGCCAAACCACAAACATACCCTAATATTAAAAAATGTACTTTAATATGTTATTAGAAATTAATATTATCAATTTTAGATGTATATATAATCAACAGAATGTGTATATTTCATTGAATTTACAAGTTTCGAATTGATCATTATCTTGAGGTATATGTTGTCTTACAAATACTTACAACCTTATGTATCTATATAGGTGTAGAACGCACCAAATACAAAGTATACCATATAATTTTTTTTCAACCAAATTTGTGTAATTTCTTATATTTTGTAATGGTAACTAAACCATAAAACATAAATCCTAACCACTAAACCCCAAATAATTTACCCTAAACCCTAAAATATAAACTTATCCTAAACATAACTCAGTTGTACCATGTTAATAACTCAGTCACAAAGTGTAACTTAATCGCGGCGTTTCGTATTTTTGGGCGGGAACTAAATACTTGCAAAACACTGGGGTGGGCGAGAACATTACGCAACCATGACCATTGATTGATTTTAATCTAAGGGTTCAAAATTATCATTTTCTCTATCCTAACCCTTCTTTATCATTGATCTTTCTTTTTCAATGATCACAATTTATGGCCATTGATTGGATGAAATCTAAAGTTCAAAAATCATTCTCTCATTTTCTTATAATTGACGGGACTTAACTGTTTCATCACTCTCTTTAACTATTTTTTTCTTCTGAAAGGCGACGAATTCGATGAGAGAAGGAGCATCAGGATGTCGGATCACCATACAAGAAGGAACATCAAGATGTCAGGTCACCATACAGATACTGAAGGAAATAAAGCTTCTTCTCTAATTAACCACCATCGAAGATGGCGACTACAATAGATCTGTCTCCAATTTTTTTTTCTAGATATATGTTGTTTATGCGACTGATATGTCTCTTGATTCCTAATCTATAGACTGTAATGTACAGGTCCTCAAAGCAATGTCTCATACGGGAAGTGGACAACTAGATGCTCCATGACTTCAAAAAAATGATGGGGGAAATATTATTTCCAAGTTGCAAAGTAAGATGGGAGCGTTTTCATGAAGTTGTTGAACCACATCCTCTTTAAGAGTGCGTGTGTTCAGATCCCATAAAAGTGCTCCAATTCCTTTTATATTTCGAAAATAAAAAGACATTAGTAGTCGTATTATTTATTAGTGCATATGTTTAATATATATATTACATGCAAGTGCTTCATGTATTTTTGTTGGCAGTAACTCCAAAAATGCAAAGGGAAGTAGTCGTTGCATAAAGACATGACAATCATGACTCTTCATTCCGGAGAACTTTTGACCTTTTTCAATACATCTAGAAAGATTTGAAACATACCCATCAGGGAACTTCACTTCTGATGCCACCTAGTTAAACAACACCGACTTTTGTTCTGATGATAATCTGAACATCGGAACTGGAACTTGTCCATTGCGTTTTATATGTAACTCACTTCTTGCGCAAATATCAGGCAATTCCAACCTCGATTTGATGTTGTCTTTCGTTATCCCTGGAACATTCAATATTGTGTTCAGGATGTTCTAAAAAAAATCTTCTCTATATGCATCACATCGAGGTTGTGACGCAAAAGATGATCCTTCCAATATGGCAAATCCCAAAATAAATTCTTTCTGTGTCAGTTGTGTTGAACACCGTAAAATATGGCATGTTATTGGGAACATGCCAATTACCACCACGAGGAACGGTTTCTAGAGCATAGTATTAAACAATTTGGGCTTCGATTTGTTCCTAGTTAAATATGGAGGAG